AAGAAAACCCGTATTTGACAAAACTGAATCAAGCTGTCCTATGAGGTGCTACTCTTAAGCACCTTGATGGGTAGCTGCACTATGCACAAGTAAGTCAAATCTTTTTTTGTCTTGATTTTGGTTGGTAGGTAAAGGTATGAAAGTTAGTGATTTGTGGAGCTAGTGGCATGGTGGTTAAAGGATCTGGGACTCCCACTGCCGTTTGAGTCCCAGATCCAGTGGTTTGCTTTCTCACTTTCTCTCTGGTCAAATTAAAATAATACTAAATAGAATTAAATAAAGAATTCTTTAAAAAAAGAAAAAAAAGTTAATGATTGGAGCCAGAAGGTGACATGGTGATTAAGGTGTTGGACATCCACCTGGCTGACTATGGTTTGAGTCTCAGACTTGGCAGCTTGCTTTCTCACTTTCCGTCTCTCTCTTTCTGTCTATGGTCAGATAAAAAAAAAAGTAATAATAGGGACCAGCATTTGGTGAAATGGCGATATCACTGGACTCCCATGTAGTCAACCATGGTTCGATTCTCAGTCCTGGTGGCTTAAACTCAGGCCAAGCGCATGTGTGTGTGCCCAAGATCCTGAGAGGAGAATGGAGGAGAAAGGATTGTGGCATGGCCATCCCCCTTGGGGGGTGACTTCTCGCTTTCTGTCTCTCTGTCTCTCTGGCGAGTGCATGTACCCTATAGCAAAAACTTCTCCAAAAAATAAATAAATGAAATAAAATAATAATTTGTCAAAAGATTTTTTCTTTTCTTTTTTAAAGAATTATTTAATTTAATTTTACTTATTCATTCAATTATTTTAATTTGATGGGAGAGAGAGAGACAGAGAGAGAGAAAAAGTGAGAAAGCAAACCACCAGGTCCAGGACTTGAACCGTGGTCAGCCATGTGGGAATATACAGAGCCTAACCACCACACCATCATGCCACCTTCCCTTCTCCTCCATTCTCCTCTCAGGATCTTGGGCACACGCACACACGCCTGGTGTGAGTTTAAGCCAGCAGGTATGGGACTCGAACCACTGTCGACTACATGGGAGTCTAGCAACACAGCTATTACACCAACTGCTGGTCCCAATTAATAGTTCTTTTAAAAAGAAAAAGTTAATCATGTGTTGTGGCTGGCAGGTAATGTGGTGGTTAAGGTACTGGACTCCCACATGGCTGACTGGAGTTCAAATCCTGGACCTGGAGGCTTATTTTCTCACGTCCCCTCTCTCTCTCTCTCTCTCTCTCTCTCTCTCATGAAACATTAAATAATCTCTCTCTGGTAAAATTAAAAAATAATAAATAAAATTAGATAAAATATTTTTTAAAAAACGTTAATGGTATATTAAGGAAGTTATGCTGAGAAAGAATAAGTTGGGTTGGGGGAAGCTAGAAATGAAAGAATGGTGGATTGGGGGAAAATAATAAAGGAAGGCATGCAGAACACCTAGCTAGCACCATGCATCACATATTGTAGGTACTCATCAGGTTTTGCTTCCTTCCTAGTTTTAAAACACATTCATCTCAAAGAGTGTTTTCAAAAACGAACAGAAAAATCTTTTAGGTTGATTTGACAAAGTAAGCATATAAGTGATTTTCAAATTTGCAAATGCGGCAGTAAAACTAAAGTAATTGCTGGAGAGTCAGTACTTGAGATTAATGTGCATTCAAGTTTCTGAACCATTTCTTTTCTCAGAAAGTGTCCTGTGAGAAAAGTGATACGAACATTGGGAAAACTTGCTCTTCTGTGCTAAGCGAATGACAATGTCACACGTTAAAACCTCTTATTCCTACGATGCCCCCATGGACTTCATCAATTTTACATCTTTGGATGATGAAGAAGATACTCAAAACATAGATTCGTGGTTTGGTAAGTGTCTGCTTTCTCTGGCTTTTTAAAACATCTTAATCAGCTTTAATTGAGAGTCTGAAATTGGGTAGCATTTCATTCCATAACATAGGGTGTTAGAATAAACTGAGCAGAAGAGCTTGATTTTTATTAAAAAATTTTTTTGAAGACCGAAAAGTAGAAACAACACAGAAAGAGGCACGTCATTTCAGTTACTTTCTTTGTAAGACAGGAACAGGCAGACAATAATAGGAAAGAAGCTGATTAGTTAATATCAGGTTTCTCCTTTCTAAAAACAATTTTTAGGAATCAGCAGATGTCATAATGGCTACATTGCTGGACTCCCACGTAGTTGACCACAGTTAAAGTCCGGACCCGGTGGCTTAAACTCATACCGGGCACGTGTGCGTGTGCGCCCAAGATCTTGAGAGGAGAATGGAGGAGAAGGGATTGCGGCGTGGCCATCCCCCTTGGGGCGGGTGATTTCTTGCTTTCTCTCTTTCTGTCTCTTTCTTTCTGGCGAGTGTATGCGCCCTATAGCAAAAACCTCTCCCCCCAAAGAAAACCAACCAATTTTTTAAAAATAAATTTTTTTTTTTTTAGTTTTTGCTATAGTGTGTATGCACTCACCAGAGTTTGGGGGGGTGGGGGAGAAAGGGAGAAATCACCCCTTCCCCCAGAGGAGGAGGTGGGCATGCACAATCTCTTCTTCATTCACCTTTTGGGATTTTGGGGCATGTACATACACACACCTGGTGTGACTTTCAACCTACCAGGTTCTGGACTTGAACTGTAGAGTTGGCCATGTGGGATCCAGCACCTTAACTTCTATGCCACTTGCTAGTCTCTTAAAGTTTGTTTTTATTTTATTTCTTACATGAGTGAGAAAGGCAGACAACTTTTATTATCTGAAAGCCAAAACTGCCTTCCAAAATATTTCAGTTTGGTATGCTCATTACTTTAAACTGACTATGTGTGAGGAACAGCGAATTCAGGGAAGAGCTGTCTCCAGTTCCCTTATCTACTTTCCTTATATCTGCCTAAGGACAGATCATCTAAAGGAACTCAGTTATGAATCTACTCGCAGGTATCTTATCAGCCAGGGAAGATTAACTCAGGTTGGTGCCATCCACTGATAGACTATTATCTGTTCTTCTGAGAGCCCATTCATTTTTCCCCAAATTAATTTATTCTTCAGTTGCCTATATTCTTCTTTCATTCTCTCCTGCAAAGGGGGTATATTGGGGCTGGCAGGTGGCGTTGTGGTTAAAGGCACTGGATTCCCACATGGCTGACTGTGGTTCAAATTCTGGACCTGGAGACTTTGCTTTCTCAGTTTCTCTCTCTGTCTCTCTTTTTCTCTCTCTCTCCCTCTCTGGTCGAATTGAAATAAATGAATGACTAAATAAATAAAGTTAAATAAAATAATTCTTTATAAAAAAGAGGGTATTTAAACTTCTAGATATCGATGATATTTTGGATATTCACTAGTTTTTTATGTGATACCTCTGTGTATTTACTAAATGTGTATACCTTTTTTCCTGTTAATCTTTCTTATGTCAATTTAATTCATAGCCCAGCCAAAGAACCTACAAGGGTAGAAGGAAGCCATCTTATCCCCTTGTAGAGTCCTACAGATCCTAGTGGTTACAGTTTTCGTTAAGAGGAACGCAATGTGTTTAGGTGGTAGATAAAGGCCAGTTCATGCCTGTATGACCGACCCTCAGTGTAACAAGCACAGATAAGGAGCTATTCACAATGCAGAGTCTGCACTTTTCCTTTTCTGTACTACATTGTTCAGTGTTGCCAGTTTCTTAGTGATAGCTTTTACTGTCTGTCTCTGACATACTTATTTCTTCCTGAATGCTGGCGTTTTGCTTGTACTTGCCAGATGAGTTGGAATTGTACTGGTAGGGGGCTTTTGTCCCCATTTTAGGTGCACGACACTGATTTATTTTGCTTTCTTGCTGATTGTTTGGATGATAATGATCTTACCCTTTCACAGAGGAGAAGGCCAATTTGGAGAATAAGTTTCCTGGGAAGAATGAGATAGGAGGACTTTTTCAGGGCAAAACTCCTTTGAAAAAAGCTAATCTTCAGCAAGCTCTTGTCACACCTCTGAGGCCAGGTAAGGAAGAACATCTTAGAAGAAAAGCTTTGTGGCAAAATGGTGAGATTGTATCAGGAGCCTGAGGCTCTGAGGAAATCATTTCAATGCTGTTTCTCTTGGATACTGTCGGTGAAACGGGCTCATTCAGCTCGTGATGAGTGTAAAGCTAATGATGTGCTGTACTTTTAAAATGCCTAGGAACTTAAGCTAGCATAGAATTTTATTGCTACATACATCACTTTTTTCATTTTATGACAATTTAATGCAACCCTACCCTGGTTCTGGTTAGAAAATAAAATAGCTGGAGAGAAAAATATACCACCTGCCATTGTATGAGAATTTGTTGAGTCATGTGTCTGAGGTGTTTTTTTTGTTTGTTTGTTTGTTTTGAGTTATTTTATTTAACTTTATTGATTTATTTACTTATTTTTTAATTTGACCAGAGAGGGACAGAAAGAGAAAGTGAGAAAGCAAGTCGCCAGGTCCAGGACTTGAACCATCGTCAGCCATGTGGGAGTTCAGTGCCCCTAATCACCATGCCACCTGTCGGCCTCGAGTCATATATTTGATTTTAAAAGATGATTGACATTTGGGCTGATGGGTTTCCAAATCTGTAGACTTTTGTCTATTTGGTCAGAACATAGAGGCATTCTTTAATGGGTCATAAATGCCTACTAAAAATGGCTCTTTCTTAAAAAAAGAATATTCCCATTTAGTGATAACATATTATGCAATTCATCTACTTAACATATACATTTATTTTTAAAAGAATTATTTTATTTAACTTTATTTATTTTAATTAGACCAGAGAGAGGAACGAAATGAGAGAGAGAGAAAGAGACAGTGACAGTGAGAAAGCAAGCCACCAGGTCCAGGACTCGAACATAGCTGACCATGTAGGACTCCAGTGCCCTTAACCATCATGGCACCTGCTGGTCCCAACATAAACATTTCATTGTTTGTTAGTATATTACCAGTTATACAACCATCACTATAGTCAATTTAGAATATTTGAAAATTACTCTATGAGTAAATTTTTTTTTTTTTTTTAAGAAGTTTTTGCCTTAGGCTGCATGTACTTGCCGGAGGGAGATAGATATAGTAAGAGGGAAAGTGAGAAATCACCCCCCAGGGTGATTGGATGCACCACAGTCCCTTCTTCTTAATTCACCTTCTGGGATTTTGGGCACTCACACACATGCACCTGGCCTGATTTTCAAGCCGCCAGGTCCAGTACACAATCTGTGGTCAGCCATGTGGGAGTTCCAGCAAGGTGACCACTATGCCATCTGCTGGCCCCTGTATGGGTAAATCTTAAACTGTCCTCAGTCACACCATTAGCAGAGGGGTTGGCTGTATCAGAGAAGCAGCTATGTTTTCAGTGAACTTGTCTAGTTTGCAGGTGAACTGCTAGGATGAGTTTCAAATAACTCATGGCTATAGGTGATACCTGTTGAATTGGGGATCTGGACAAGGACCCTGAGTTTTGGTATTTATGTTTTTTATTTCTGGGGTTAGAACTCTGTGGCACATTTCACCTGACTGACATGGAATGTTGGTGGCCTGAGTGCCATTTCTTTAGAAGAATTATGTTAATTCATTTGATGTGGTAGATTTTTTTTTCTTACAGTGATGGTCTTTACATTCTTCTTGAATTGAAAGTGAATGTAATATTGTCCAGTTTGTCTGGGCTACTTCCTTTGTTTGCTTGTTTGTTTTTTTTTAATATGTTTATATTTTATTTATTTGTTTACTTATTTTACTGTTTTTGTTTTCTTAGGGGGGAGATTTTTTGCTGTAGGGCATGTGCGCTCACCAGAAGGACAGAGACAATGAGAAATCACTCCCAAGGGAGGATGGCCATGTCACCATCCGTTCTCTTTCACTCTCCTCTCAGGATTTTGGGCACACATGCACATGTGCTGGTGTGAGTTTTTTAAGCCGCCAGGTCCAGAACCCAAGCCGCAATTGACTATGTGGGAGTCCAGTGATGCAACTGCTATGCCATCTGCTGGGTCCTATTTATTATCTTATTAAGAGAGATTTTTGCTATAGGATGCATGTGCTTGTTGGAGAGACAGAAAGTGAGAAATCACCCCCTCCCCCCAGGAGTGATGACCATGCCATATTTCCTTCTCCATCTCCCTCTCAGAATTTTGGGCACACATGCACACACATCCATTCGTGAGTTTAAAGTCACCAGGTGTGGGACTCGAACTGTGGTTGATCATGTAGGAGTCCAGCAGTGTAATCATTTTGCCATCTGCTGGCCCACCTTAATTATTTTAGAAAATAATTGTTTATTTTATTTTACTTTTACTTATTTTTAGTTTTTAAAGTTTCCATTACTTAGAAGGATATAAATTTGTTTTTTTATTTTTAAGAATTATTTTATTTAGCTTTATTTGCTTATTTACTTATTTACTTTTAATTTGATTGAAGAGGGACAGAGTGAGAGAGAGAGAGAAAGCCAGTTGCCAGGTTCATGACTTGAACTGCAGTAGGCCATGTGGGAGTCTAACATCCTCCCCAACCACCACGCCAGCAGTGAGGAGGATATGAATTTATACACACACAGCATCTTCAATCTAGAATTCTGTACACATACACACACACACACACACTATACACCCATATCATACTAAAAAAATAATCTCTAGTTCATTTCTTTGCAATTTGAGTGCTGACTGGTTTTTGGTCTCCTACAGTGGACAACACTTACTACAAAGAGTCAGAAAAGGAAAATCTCGTGGAGCAATCCATTACATCAAATGTTTGTTCTTCCTTAGAAGTAGAGGGAACCATATCAAAAAATACTCCAGCTCAACCTCAGAGGTAAGATTGTTTTGGAGCTCAGAACTACTGGTTATAGTAATAATGTTCAAAGGCTATTATTGGACAGAGTACTTGGCATGTCTATATACTACTTTTGACTTTTTATGTTACCTTATTTAATCCTCATAGCACATATGAGTTATAGAAATCAATAGTATGTTTAGTTTATAGGTAAGGAATCAGAGATACTAAGTTACTTGTCTAGGGCCAGTTTATTTCAAAGTTAGAATTCAAATCTTGATCAGTCTGCTTCCAAAAGCTTTGTGCAGGTAGAATTACTACATCTTCCTGATGTCAAGTGTCTCTCTTCATTCTTAAGTATTACTGTAGCTTTCTTATGATTATATTTGTGTAGTGTCTTTTTCTTTTTAAAAATTTACTGGAGGGTGATTGTGCCTAGTGGGGGGAGAGAGAGAGAAAATGAAAAAGTACCCCCATGGAACATGGTCACACCACAATCCTTCTTCCATTTCTTCCTTATTTTTGGATTTTTGGGCAAACATGCACATAATATATTTCTTTATTTTTTTTAAAGAATTACTTTATTTATTTATTTATTTTAATTTGAATAGAGAGAGAGAGAGAGAGAGAGAGAGAGAGAGAAAGAGAGCGAGCTAGAAGACAAGCCACCAGGTCTGGGACTCAAACCACAGTTGGCCATGCAAGAGTCCAGTGCCCTTAACCACCATGCTACTTGCCAGCAATAAAAATCATATAACTAAGTCTAGGAGAAAAACTTCATAACCTTGAGGCAGAAAAGATTTCTTAAATAAGACACACAAGAGAAGCATTGACTATAATGAGGAGGGAAGAGGTTAAAAACCTGAAGCACGTTTATCTAGTCAAAAGATAAAACAAAGTGAAGGAAAAGCTAACCCTCAGGGAGAAACTATGTGTAACATATAAAACCTACAAAGGGCTATATTTAGAGTACATACAGAATTCCTGCCTGTTAATTAGAAAAGAATCGACAACCCACTAGAACACAGACAAAAAACTTGAAGTAATAACTTTATGAAGGAGGATAACCAGATGGCCAATAAACATGTGAAAAAGTACTCAAACTCACAGGTAACAAGAGAAAAACAAATTAGAGTCTATGACTTTGCAATCTTATGACAGTATACCCGACAGCAATGTGTACAGCTGTGCACCAAGGGACATGGTATTTTGAAAATCTTTATAGCAGAATTATTTATAGCAGCTAAAATAAGGAAATTACCTACAGTAGTAGATTGAATTAATATTAGCACATTCCTACAATGAATGTTATACAGCAATAAAAATTAGTGGCTTAGAACTACCTAAATGGATGTGGTGGAATCTCACAGTCATTGTTGTGTGAAATAAAGCAGACAGGAAAAATATCCGGAGTTGTATGATTACATTATATAAAGTTTCTGTTTTCTTTCAAAACATACTGTGTTTATGGAATGCATGCTGATTTGGTAAAACAATAAGAAAAAGCAATGATTATTGTAGCAGCTGCTCTTCTGTTTCTTGTCTTAGGTGATGATTTCTTGAATCTTATTTTGTAATCATTAATTTATTTTCATTTTGTGCTCTTTTTGATGTGTGTTGTATTTTGCCACAAAAAAGGAGAGGGGGAGCAGCTAAAAGTAAAAGGAAATCAATATGTTAGTCTATTTCCAGGAGATCTGATCTTTAGCTTCAAGTCTGACAGTAACTAGTTATGACTAGCTAGCAGGGTGGCTAATAGTCAAGTAATTTCATCTTTTTTGATTTTTATCTGTAAAAGAAGGGGATAGTATATGGAGATTGCCACCAATTTTTTTTTTTAATAATGATTTAATTTTATTCATTTATTTTAATATGACCAGAGAGACACATGCAGATAGAGAGAGGGAAAGTGAGAAAGCAAGCCACCAGGTTCAGGACCTGAACCATGGTCAGCCATGTGGGAGTGTCCAGCAAATTAACTACCACGCCACCTGCTGGTCCCAACCACCAATTTTTTTTTTTAATCAGCTTTATTGAGACTGAATTTACAAACATCAGTATATTTAAGTACCAACATTTTATGGCTGAATTTCTAAAACTATCAAGACAGAAGAGCTTAGATTTTGTTGGTTTGAAGCTTGCTTTTTTTTTTTTTTGCCAGAGGGCACCTGTGCTTGCCAGAGATAGAACAAGAGGGAAAAAGCATTCCCTCTTGGGGCGCGATCACACTGCAATCCCTTCTCCATTTCTCCATCCTGTGGGATTTGGGGCATGCACGTACATGCACCTGGCAGATTTTTCAAGCCATCAGGTCTGGGATTCAAACCATGCAGTCACTTATATAGGATCTGACTCCCTTAGCCACCAGGCCATAGGCTTGCCCAAGGTTGGATTTTTTCTTTCTTTCTTGTTTTTTTCTTTGGAGAAATTTTTACTATAGGGCACGAGTGCTCACCAGACAGACAGAGACAGAGAGACAGAGAGCAAGAAATCACCCCCCAGGGGGGATGGCCACGCCACAATCCCTTCTCCATTCTCCTCTTGGAATCTTGGGCATGCACGCACATGCGCCTGGTGTGAGTTTTAAGCCACTGGGTCCCCAAGGTTGGATTTTTAAAGGCAAGATAACACTTTTTTTTTTTAAGTTTTGCTATAGGGTATGTGTGCTTGTCAGAGAGAAAGAGAGAAGGTGAACAATCACCCCTTGGAGGAGATGGCCACACCACAATCCCTTCTCCTCCAGTCTTCTCTCTAAATTTCAGGTATACATGCAGTGTGATTTTCAAGTCACCAGAAACAGGATTCACAGTCACTTTGTGGGATCCATCCAGTGCCTTAATCTCTACACCACCTGCTGACCAGCTGCTAAACCTTTTATAGCCCCCCCTTTAAGAATGATTTATTTTAATTTTGTTATTATTATTTTAAAATTTGATATAGGACATGTGTACTCACCATTGAGAGACAGAAAGTGAGAAAACTAGCCACCAGGTTGAGGTCTTAAGCTCCAGTCAACCATGTGGGAGTCCAGTGCCTTAACCACCATGCCACCTGCTGGCCTCCCTCTTTTATAGCCCTTTGTAGCTTGGCATAATTTCACATTTCTGAGGAACATTTGCGTATCTTCGGTAGATGTATTTATTACAGATAAATTTTGTCAATTTCTTTACCACAGAAGATCTCTTAGACTCTCTGCTCAGAAGGATTTGGAAAAAAAAGAAAAATGCCATGTAAGAATGAAAGCCAAGAGATGTGCCACTCCTGTAACCATCAGTGAAATTCCACCCTCCAAAAAAATGAAAGTGTAAGTAGCCACAGCTTCTCCCTGCCCAGGGCAGACATACTGTGCCTCACATAATACCTGTAAATGCATTTCTTTCCTGAATTTAAACTTTAGTGAATAAAGTAAAATTATACATGGGAACATCTGTAACCTGTGTGGTGCACCTGAAACCTTAAAACTCCCAAAGCTGTGACCGTGCTGGGGTAAATTGTTTTTTGTGTCCTGGACAGCGCTCAAGACTTAGCTCTAGATTTTACTGTTTGCTCCTGTAGTTGAAGAAGTTGAATACACAGTACTTGTTCTTTTGTGCATGTGTGGTGTTATTTTTAGACAGGGTTTTGCTGTGTCGTGATCCTCCTGCCTCTGCCTCCTGAGGAATGAGGGCTATAGGGTGTACCACCTTGCCTAGCTCTTTCAAACATGGTCTTGCTGTGTTGCCCACACCTGCTACAAGCTTGTGAGCTTTGTACCTCAGCCTTCAAGTAGTTGGGACTGTAGGCATATGTTCTTAATGTTATCTGTAAGTAATATTCATCTAAAGTGGTTTAAATGGAGATTTGGGACCAGCAGTTAGTGTCATGGCTATGTCGCTGGACTCCCAGGTAGTCGACCACGGTTCGCGTCCTGGACCCGGTGGCTTAAACTCACGCTGGGCGCGTGTGTGTGCGTGCCCAAGATCCCGAGAGGAGAATGGAGGAGAAGGGATTGCGGCATGACCATCCCCCCTGGGGGGTGATTTCTCGCTTTCTATCTCTCAGTCTCTCTCTGTCTGTCTGGTGAGCGCACGTGCCCTATAGCGAAAACCTCTCCAAAAAAAAAAAAAAAGAAAAAGGGCAAGAGAGAGAGAGTGCCCTATAATACAGGCCAGGTCATTGTCACTCTTAAATCTCTTCTACTCCATTTCTCCCCTCTTTTGGGATCTTTGGACATTCTTGTGTATTTTCCAGGCCACTAGGGCCAGGATTCGAACTATACAGTTAGCATAGGATCCAGTTTCCTCACCTAGGTCATGGGACTGGCTTGATTCTTATTTTAAAATTAACCCTTTTTTTTTTTTCTACTTGCAGAAGGTACACTCATGTGCGGGAGGGGGCTGGGGGAGAATGAGGGCACATCCCTCAAAGGGGTATGGTCACTGTGATCAGACCACTGTCCTTTTCCATCTTATTAGGACTTTATTTTTGGCATGGATGTACCTGTGTGCTCTTCAATCTGATGGGACCAGGATTTGAACCACAGTGGCTGTATGGGATCTGGTTCTCAATGACTGCCCTTAACTACGACGTTGAGTCTGGCCCCTAACTTGTTTTTTCCCCAAATACTTCTTGCTCAAGATGAATGCTCTACGTTTCTTAGCTCTTTCTTTTTACTTGTTGCCTCATTGTTAGCAAATAGCTGCTCCAGATCTAGGCATCATGTCCATGTTCAAGAGAAGCAGAAGGGTATGATAAAGAAAGAAAGGCAGCATTCATATCAAGAAAGTGAAACCTTTCCCAGAAACCTTTAATTATATCTCATTTTCCATACCATGGCACTTGAATCCTCTAGTTGCGTGTAGGCAGAGCAAGTACAGTACTTACTTGTAGGTTGGTACGTTGCTGTTACCCCCAAAACTTAGATGGGGTAAGAAAGAGATGGAGTAGGTATTGGGATGGAAACTAGCTGTCTGCCATGTGTTCATTTGATGATAACAAGTAGAGTCCCTCCTCACCTCTTGAACAAACAACTCTTACCTTGATTTCTGTTAGCTTTCTCGAAGTTTACTTGATGAGACTATTGACGTGTATGATCTGATGAGACGATTGGGAGAATCTTGTGGTTAAAGCATGCTTATTATCCTAAAGGATGAGAAAGTCTAAGCCCATGTGTGACAGGTTTGGGGAAGACGGTGCTATGGGAGATGCTATGGGAAATTAAGAGTATATATTTTTTTCTTATCAAACTCAAGTTCCAACAATAAAAAGCCAGAGGAAGAGAAAGAAGGTAGTGCCCATGAAGATACTTGTGAGAAGAATGAATCCCTCCCAGAGAAAGCCAAGGGCAGACGAACTGCGCCTTGCATGCCACCAGTAAAGTAAGTTTTTTTCTTGAATTTGGACTTCACAGGGAATAGAGTAAAATTAAAAGTGGATACATCTGCTTGGTGTGCCTAGAGCTTAAGAAACTTAAAGCTGCAACTGTGGTAAGGTGAATTTTTACATGTATCCAGGATGGTGCTCAAATCTTAAATGATGAGAAAAATATATGCTATATTCATTGAATAGTTTTCCTTTTTCCAATGTCCCTTCTGACCTTTACCCAAGAAAACATACATATTTTCTTTTCTTTTTTGTTGGTAAACGGCATGTGTTCTCACCAGAGAAAGGAAGAAGCTCCTCAGTGAGGTGGTCGCACCACAGTTCTTTCTTCATTTCTCCATGCTGTCACATTTCAGGGCACACATGCACACGTGCAGGCATGATTTTCAGTCCTCTGGGGCTGAGATTTGAAACATGGTTGACCACGTAGGCTCCAACTCTTTATGTGTAGTAACCAGGCTGGCCCAACATACATAATTTTATAATCAATTAAAAAACCTTTGAGTTCTGCTTTATTCATTTGCCAAGAGACTGTTTCATTTTTTTCTTTCTTTTTTATTATTTAATTTTATTTATTCATTTATTTTAATTTGATGAGAGAGAGAGAGAGAAAGTGAGAAAGCAAGCAGCCAGGTCCAGGACTTGAACCATGGTCAGCGATGTGGGAGTATCCAATGCCTTAACCACCACACCACCTGCTGGTAACCCCATTTATTTTCTGTGCTGCTTTAAAAGTCTTTACTTTTTTTGTGTGGTAGATTGTTAGTATTCTTTCTTTTTAAAACTGTTTTATTTTATTTATTACTATTATTATCTTTTAACTTGCTATAGTCATCAGAGAGAGAGGAGGATAGAAAATTAAAAGACAATTATTTTATTTAACTTTAATTTGACCAGAGAGGGACAGAGTGAGAGAGAGAGAAGGAAAGTGAGAAAGCAAGCCACCAGGTCCAGGACTCAAATTGCAGTTGGCCATGTGGGCTCTCTCATATGGCAAAAAAACTAAAAAAGAAGAAGATTATGGGCCAGCAGGTGGTGTGGAGGTTAAGACAACTGGATCCTACATGGGCAATTTCATGTTTGAGTCCCAGACACAGCAGCTTGAAAATTACACCAGGTGTGTTTGTGTACGTGCCCAACATTCTGAAAGGATACCAGAGGGGAGAGGATTGTTGTGTGGTCATCCTTCTGGAGCCGTGATTTCTCGCTTTCCCTTTTTCTTTCTCTGTTTGGTGAGTGCACATCCCTTGTAGCAAAAACTTAAAATAAAAAAACCAAAACAAACCCCAAAAAGACAAAAAAATTCTCTACATAATGCCTTTACAACATTTTGAATGACTGAGCCCTCTTAAATTCTTTTCTCTTATCTCCTTTATTAATTTTTCCTTTAGACAGAAGGTTCTCAAAAGTACTGAAGAGCAGGAGTTGGAGAAGAGAATGAAAATGCAGCAGGAGGTAGTGGAAATGTGGAAAAAGAATGAAGAATTCAAGAAACTTGCTCTTGCAGGAGTAGGTAAGCTTGGCCCTGGGTGAGTTTGTTATGTGAGGGGTGCTTGTAGTCTTGTGGGGTGTATTTGAGGCCTCTAAAGTGAGAAAAGGGCATTCCCAGTCAGTAGAATAAAAGATGTTTGTTTAAAAAACTAGTTGTGGGTTCCATTTCTAGACCAGTGATTGTTTCTTGGAACATTTCGCATCCATTGTCCCTTCCTTAAAGCATGTTGTTCCTCTCTTGTATTAGAAAAAGAAGAAACTAGAATTGAGACAAAAGAAAAGGAAAATGAGCAGTTTGTGGTGGTGTGGTTTCTCACTTTATCCTAAAGGAAGAGGGAGAGAATGTTGTTGAATCCAGTTTAGGTGTAGCTGGGAAGAGAAAGTCTGACTGGGTGAATTGAAGAGGTCACAATTTTGCTTTGCTGTGGCATGCAGATGATGTTGGTGGAGTTAAAGCTATAGTGCCCTGGGACCACCAGATGGCATAATGGCTGATCTCCCATGTAGTCTACCTTGGTTCAAGTCTTGGACCCGCAGCTTATGCTCACAGTGGCACGTGTGTGCTCCTAAAATCCCAAGAGGAGAGTGGAGGAGAAGGAATTGCAGCATGGCCATGCATCCTGCGGGATGATTTCTTGCTCTCTGTCTTTCAAGTGAGCATACACACCCTAAAGCAAAAAAATCTCTCAAAAAAAAAAAAAAAAAAAAAAAAAACATCTAACGCCCTACTTACTAGATTGAAAAAGCACCCTAGGATTTTATAGGGTTCTCTTTTAGAAATGCTGAGTTAAGGTCAGCTGTCAACATGGTGTTTAAGGTGGCTGTATCCCACATGGCCTACTGCATGGTTCAAGTCCCTGACCCGGCAGCTTAAAAAACATGCCAAGCACATGTGTTTGTATGTCCAAAAACCCAAGAGAAAGATGGAGAAGGGATTGTGGTGTGGCCATCACTCTTGGGAAGTGATTTCTAACTACCCCATAACCCCCTGTCTCTAGCAAAAAAAAAAAAAAAAAATAGTACTGAGTTATGAGTATGTGTTTAAAGAATTATTTAATTTATTGTTATTATTATTTATTGACCAGAGATAGAGACAAAGGGAAAGTGAGAAAGCAAGCTGCCAGGTCCAGTATTCTAACCATGATTAACCATGTGGGAATCCAGCACCTTAATCACTGCACCACCTGCTGACCCCCGAGTTATATGTGCTTTTAAAGCCAATCCATAGCTTTTCTTTTAAGAAATATTCAATGACTGTTTCTCCAGAAATGAACCCCCATCTAGGAGATGAGCTTATTCTTCCTGTTCTACCTCATTATAGTTTGCATTTGACTGAAATACCTCAGGTCCACTAGTACTTGATGTATATGACACATACACTAAGTGTTTTTGAGGACCGTTTAAGATTTTGGGTTACATGTAGTCAGCAAAGTTAGATACACGGTAATATGAATACCAAAAGGACTGGAGCAAGAGTGTTCTCTGTTCTTCTCTTTTATTAATTCCAGAAGTTGTGCATGCATGGGTATACAGGGAGATGGGGAGAAAGACAGTTCCCCGCTCGGTGAGACCTGGTCAGCTGTGCAGTCAATCCCTCTTTCTCCATTTTTCCAGTCATCAGGATTCTGGGCACATGCGAGTGTGTCCAGTGTGTTTTTCAAGCCACCCAGGCAAGGACTCAAAACCTAGTCAGTCATGTGGTATCCAGCTTCCTCTATATAATGCTTACTCACTGCACCACAGGGCTGGCCCTGATGTTCTCTGTTTTAATGTTACTTGTGTGTTTGCTCCACACTCAGGACAACCTGTGAAGAAATCAGTGAGCCAGGTCACCAAATCAATTGACTTCCACTTCCGCACAGATGAGCGAATCAAACAACATCCTAAGAACCAAGAGGACTATAAAGAAGTAAACTTCACTTCTGAATTGCGAAAGCATCCTCCGTCTCCTGTAAGTTGAGGGATTAAATGAATTTTCTTGTTACTCATTCAGTTAGGATTCAAGGTATAGCGTTGTGGTCACTTTTATTTTTTATTTTTTAATTTTTTTAAGAGAGATTTTGCTTTAGGGCATGTGCACTCACCAGAGAGGCAGAGAGAGAGAGACAGAAAGTGAGAAATCACCCCCTGGGGGATGGCCACACTGCAATCCCTTCTCCTCCTCTCAGGATTTTGGGCATACACATGCACTCACCATGAGTTTTTATAAGCTGCCGAGTCCAGGACGTGAACCATGGTCAAGTACGTGGGAATCCAGTAACATAACCATTATGCCATTTGCTGGGTCCAGGACTCAAATTATACAGTTGGTCATGTGAAATCCAACTGCATTAACCACCACAGGTTGGCCTGGAAGCTTGTTCTTAAATGCTTCAAAACATTGACATTCTTGTAAAACATTGCCTATGCACTATTGCAGAACCGACAATTTGCCTTCCTTTTCTTTTTAAGTAATGGTGGGAATGACTGGTTATAATCCTTTCCCCCAAACTGACAAATTTCAGAATAGTAATCTCAACTTTACGTAGGTCCTTTTTCTTTTGCTGCTCTGTGCTGATTATGTGGCTTGTGATAGAGCTGAGTTCTTCCATAGCATTTCATTTGGGAAACATCTTCTCTTTGCAGGCTCAGGTGAATAAGGGATGTACCATTATTAAGCCTTTCAACCTGTCCCAAGGAAAGAAAAGAACATATGATGAAACAACTTCTACGTATGTGCCCCTTGCACAGCAGGTTGAAGCCTTCCATAAACGAACTCCTAACAGATATCATTTGAGGAGCAAAAAGGATGATAATAGTAAGTTTCCTACCAATATTATTGCTGGCCAGAGCCTCCCCTAGCATTTCTTTTGCACAAATTTGTCTTTAGTTGAAATTCTAGCTTTTAAATTAAAGTTTGGGATGTAATTTTATGCAGAGAAAAAATACATAGGTCACAGTTTCTTGGGCCACCTTATACATCAATTATCTCAGGCCGCCTGGTCAGTAATTGGCCAAGGGTAATGAATCAAGGTAACCTGAGATGTCTTTGAACATTAAGGTTATCTGTGCCCTGTGTCAAAGTGTCACAGTGCATTTGCTAATTTGTAGAAATGAAAGCATTTCATTCATTCAAGGTTGTGTGTTTTTGTTTAGCAGTTCAGTAAAGTTTTTTTTTTTTTTTTTTTTTTTTTTTTTTGAGAGATTTTCACTGTAGGGCGCGTGCGCTCGCCAGACAGACAGAGAGAGACAGAGAGACAGAAAGCGAGAATCACCCCCCAGGGGGGATGGCCATGCCACAATCCCTTCTCCTCTCGGGATCTTGGGCATGCACGCACACGCGCCCGGCGTGAGTTTTAAGCCACCGGGTCCGGGACACGAACCGCGGTCACCTACGTGGGAGTCCAGCGACATAGCCATTACGCCAACTGCTGGTTCCCAGTTCAGTAAAGTTTTTACCACTGCAATTCTGGCACTGTGTTGCGTGTGGAGGTTGTAGAGGTCAGAAGAATGTACTTGGTGCTTATTCAACATCAAGCTTCCTTTTTTTTTTTTGGAGAGGTTTTTGCTATAGGGCGCGTGCGCTCGCCAGATAGACAGAGAGAGACAGAGAGACATAAAGCAGGAAATCCCCCCCCCAAGGGGGGATGGCCACGCCATAATCCCTTCTCCTTCATTCTTCTCTCGGGATCTTAGGCACGCACGCACACGCGCCCAGTGTGAGTTTAAGCCACCGGGTCCGGGACTTGAACTGTGGTCGACTACGTGGGAGTCCAGCGACATAGCCATTATGCTAAGCTGGTCCCCCAAGCTTCCTCTTTTTTAAAGAGATATTTGTTATAGGGTGCATGAGCTCACCAGAGAGACAGAAAGTGAGAAATCATCCTCTAGGGGAATGGCCACGCCATAATCCCTTCTCCTCCATTCTTCTTTTGGGATTTTGGGCCCACACACGCATGTACCCAGTGTGAGTCCTAAACCACCGGGTCCAAGATTCAGACTGGTTGGCCTTGTGGGAGTCCAGCAATGTAATCACGTCATCTGCTGGTCCTCAACATCAAGTTTCTAATTCCATGAGAGAAATAAATAGGCTATTTTGTATTATAGTGAATGCTGAGATGTGGAGGGAGATGCAAGAAGAGGGGAGGCAGGTGCAGCATGTCTGAATGGAATGAAGAGATAAAGAAGTTGGCAGAGATAAACACTTTGAAGATATAGGAGGGAGAGCTGGTAGGTTAGGGATGCTTTGAACAGGTAAAGGAGGATAAAGAGTGAGAGGAATAGGTTCAGGTGCTGGTGGGTTTATAGATACAGTGGTGAACAGATAGGGAATTCTAATCTAATAGTTTTTATCTTTTTTGATTTGCTGGCGAGTGAGTGTACTCACCAGAGAGGAAGAGGGAAAAAGCACCCTTCTCCATTTCTCCATCCTGTAGGGATTTGGGGACACTCACACACATGTGCCTGTTATGTTTCTTAAGCTGCTAGTTCTGGGATTTGAACCACATAATAAACCATGTGGGATCCGGCTCCCTTAACCACCAAGCCATGAAGCCAGCCCTAATATTACAGTTTCTATCTTTTTGAGAATAATTTCTATGAGGGGAAGATTAAGAATTCTGAGGACTTGGTAGAAAATAGTTGACAAGGGTATAGAGCTAATATTTTGGATAAAGTAAAATGGAATTGTTATGTCCTTGAGGGTCTAAATTTTTTTGACTCTTTCTTTGACATTGTTAGTCTGGTAGGTAGCCAGACAAGGGCTTTCAAGTACAGGGTTTCTTAATGTTATTCTTGTGTTTTAGTGGCCAAAATGATTTTGTCAGTTTTTATATTGTGAAAATAACGAAAAATCTTTTTTTTCTTTTTTTTTTACTCCTAATGGAAATTTAAATATTAAACATGACTTTAAAATTTTTTTTTAATTTACTTAGTTTTTAATTTGACCAGAGAGGGACAAAGTGAGAGAGTGAGCGTGAGAGTGAGGGGGTGGGGGAGTGGGAAAGCAAGCTGCCAGGTCCAGGACTCAAACCACAGATGGCCATTTGGGAGTCCAGTGCCTCTAACTAGTGCCTCTAACCACCACACCACCTGCTGGCCCCTAAAATTTTTTCATTTAACTTTTTTACTTTCTTTCTTTCTTCTTTCTTCCTTACTTCTCTTTTTTCTTTTCCTTCCCTACCCCCCTCCTTCTTTCTCTCTTTCTTTCATTCTTTCTCTCTCTCTCTCTCTCTTTCTTTCTCTCTTTTTCTCTTTCTCTCCACCACCTCTGTCCCTCTCTCTCTGTCTCTTTATCTCTTTCTCTGTCTCTCTCACCAGAGAGGGACAGGGTGTGTGAGAGAAAGAAAGCAAGGAAGCAAGCCACTAGGTCTGGGATGCGAACTGCAGTCAGCCATGTGAGAGTTCAGCACCCTTAACCACCACGCCACCTGCTGGCCCCAGCTTTTCTTTTTTAAAAAATTATTTAATTTTGTTAATTGGTTTTTAATTTGCTGTAAGACATATGTGCTCACCAGAGAGAGAGAGAGGGAAAGTGAAAAAGCAAGCTACCAGGTTCAGGATTTACACAGCAGTTGCCCATGTGGGAGTCTAGCACCCCAACTATCACACCACCTCTGGCCCCTCATCATGACTTTTCAAATAGTAGTTGACTCTTAGAATCTGATGCCCTGCTTTTAGAATCCTAGTCCTGGAAGATTTAAAAAAAAAAAAAGAAAACAAAATTATTTTTATTTAAAACTGTACAGTTTCAGTTAAATAATGATTACGGATTTTTTTTGAATTATTTAATTTAATTTTATTTGTTATTATTTTTAATTTCACCGGAGAGAGAGAGAAAGGAAAAGTGAGAAAGCAAGCTCTGCCAGGTCTGGGATTCAAACCATGATTGGCCATGTCTAGCGCTCCAACCACCATGCTACCTGCTGGTCCTGGTTACATGTATATTCGAAGCATGGCTTATTTCTAGAATAGATAGATTTGTTTTTGCTTTTCTGCTGTTAAGTGATAAGATCTAAATCAAGGGAGTTGGTATTTACATAATCATAGATATTACATACTCTATGTAATTATGGAAATTGACAAGGTTGCCCATGCTCAGGTAAATTAGTATTTTCTGCGAGTGGTGGTAATAGTCTTTGTATTGATGCTTTCTTAGTTTTTGTCATTTGCCAGAGAGACAGAGAAAGACGATAGGGAAAGTGAGAAATCAGAAATCACCCCCAGAGGGGATGGCTGCAATCTCTTCTATTCTATTCTCTGGTGTGTTTTCTAAGCTGCAAGGTCTGGGACTCGAACTGCATAGTCAACCAAATGGGACCCAACCACCTTAACCACCTGCCTATCCTGATGTTTTGTTATTGTTGTTGTTGTTGTTTGTTTTTAAGGGAGATTTTTGCTGGGAACAGCAATTGGCGTAATGGTTATGTTGCTGGACTCCTACATAGTCATCCACAGTTTTAATCCCGGACCTGGCTTCAAACTCGATGCCAGGCGTGTGTGCATACATGCCCCAAGTCCCAAGAGGAGAATGGAGGAGAAGGATTGTGGCACGGCCATCTCCCCTAGGGGGTGATTTCTCCCTTTCTGTTTCTCTGTCTCTGTGGTGAGCGCACATTCCCTATAGTAAAAATCTCTCTTCAAAAAATTTAAAAAGAGATTTTTGCTATCGGGCATGTGTGCTTGTTAGAGAGACAGGAAGCAAGAAATCACCCCCCATGGGATGTCCATGCCTCAATCCCCTCTCCTCTATTCTCTCGGGATTTTGGGCATGCATGTACATGTGCCTGGCATGAATCTCAAGCTACCAGGTCCAGAACTAGAACCATGTTAGACTACATGGGAGTCTAACCATTACACCATCATCTGCTGGTCCCCCGGTGGTTTTTTTGTTTGTTTGTTTAAGATTTATTTAGTTTTATTTATTATTTCTTAAATTTGCTATAGGGTACATCTGCTCACTAGAGAGAGAGAGACAGAAAGAAAGTGAGAAGGCGAGAAAGCAAGCTGCCAGGTCTGGGACTTGAACTGCGGTCAACCATGTGGGAGTCAACCACCACACAACCTGCTGGTCCCCACCCCCACCTCCAATGGTTTTTTAAAGTTTATTTTATCAATGATAGAGAGTTTGTGCACATGCATGTAAAAAAGAGAAACTATTACTGCGTATTGACGTGGTTTTGTCATGCTGCAGTCCGCTTTCTTCATTCCTCCAGCTCATGATTTCTGGCATGTGAGTGTGTACCTGGTGTGTTTCAGGTTGACTGAGCCAGGGATCTGAACCTGTGGCCATTCATGTGGCTTCCAGCATTGCAGTTCAGTCCACTGCCTTCCAATGGCGTTACTTTCTTCACTTGACTTTCTATGAATGAAAGGGAGACTAATGTGTCATGCTTTCAGGAAATTCATAAAATTGGAAGTTATTACTTAATCTTTAGAAAGTCTTATGTTTTAGAGTTGGAATAAGGAGAAGTCATTTTTGTCAATAGCAAGCAAAGTAGTTGTCATTGTAGTTAGAAAGTATAGGTCTGTACAATGATAAGGAACCCATCAGATGTGAATGGATTTTTGTTTTGTTTTGTTTTGTTTTAGAGGTTTTTGCTATAGGACACATACACTTGTCAGAAAGACAGAGAGAGACAGAGAGACAGAAAGCGTGAAATCACCCCCCCAGGGGGGATGGCCACGCCACAGTCCCTTCTCCATTTTCCTCTCGGGATCTTGGGCATACACGTTTAAGCCACCAGGTCTGGGACTCGAACCGCAGTCGACCACATGGGAGTCTGGCGACATAGTCATTACATCAACTGCTGGTCCCAGATGTGAATGGATTTTAATATTTTTAATTTCACCGGAGAGAGAGAGAAAGGAAAAGTGAGAAAGCAAGCTCTGCCAGGTCTGGGATTCAAACCATGATTGGCCATGTCTAGCGCTCCAACCACCATGCTACCTGCTGGTCCTGGTTACATGTATATTCGAAGCATGGCTTATTTCTAGAATAGATAGATTTGTTTTTGCTTTTCTGCTGTTAAGTGATAAGATCTAAATCAAGGGAGTTGGTATTTACATAATCATAGATATTACATACTCTATGTAATTATGGAAATTGACAAGGTTGCCCATGCTCAGGTAAATTAGTATTTTCTGCGAGTGGTGGTAATAGTCTTTGTATTGATGCTTTCTTAGTTTTTGTCATTTGCCAGAGAGACAGAGAAAGACGATAGGGAAAGTGAGAAATCAGAAATCACCCCCAGAGGGGATGGCTGCAATCTCTTCTATTCTATTCTCTGGTGTGTTTTCTAAGCTGCAAGGTCTGGGACTCGAACTGCATAGTCAACCAAATGGGACCCAACCACCTTAACCACCTGCCTATCCTGATGTTTTGTTATTGTTGTTGTTGTTGTTTGTTTTTAAGGGAGATTTTTGCTGGGAACAGCAATTGGCGTAATGGTTATGTTGCTGGACTCCTACATAGTCATCCACAGTTTTAATCCCGGACCTGGCTTCAAACTCGATGCCAGGCGTGTGTGCATACATGCCCCAAGTCCCAAGAGGAGAATGGAGGAGAAGGATTGTGGCACGGCCATCTCCCCTAGGGGGTGATTTCTCCCTTTCTGTTTCTCTGTCTCTGTGGTGAGCGCACATTCCCTATAGTAAAAATCTCTCTTCAAAAAATTTAAAAAGAGATTTTTGCTATCGGGCATGTGTGCTTGTTAGAGAGACAGGAAGCAAGAAATCACCCCCCATGGGATGTCCATGCCTCAATCCCCTCTCTATTCTCTCGGGATTTTGGGCATGCATGTACATGTGCCTGGCATGAATCTCAAGCTACCAGGTCCAGAACTAGAACCATGTTAGACTACATGGGAGTCTAACCATTACACCATCATCTGCTGGTCCCCCGGTGGTTTTTTTGTTTGTTTGTTTAAGATTTATTTAGTTTTATTTATTATTTCTTAAATTTGCTATAGGGTACATCTGCTCACTAGAGAGAGAGAGAAAGACAGAAAGAAAGTGAGAAGGCGAGAAAGCAAGCTGCCAGGTCTGGGACTTGAACTGCGGTCAACCATGTGGGACAGAACCACCACACAACCTGCTGGTCCCCACCCCCACCTCCAATGGTTTTTTAAAGTTTATTTTATCAATGATAGAGAGTTTGTGCACATGCATGTAAAAAAGAGAAACTATTACTGCGTATTGACGTGGTTTTGTCATGCTGCAGTCCGCTTTCTTCATTCCTCCAGCTCATGATTTCTGGCATGTGAGTGTGTACCTGGTGTGTTTCAGGTTGACTGAGCCAGGGATCTGAACCTGTGGCCATTCATGTGGCTTCCAGCATTGCAGTTCAGTCCACTGCCTTCCAATGGCGTTACTTTCTTCACTTGACTTTCTATGAATGAAAGGGAGACTAATGTGTCATGCTTTCAGGAAATTCATAAAATTGGAAGTTATTACTTAATCTTTAGAAAGTCTTATGTTTTAGAGTTGGAATAAGGAGAAGTCATTTTTGTCAATAGCAAGCAAAGTAGTTGTCATTGTAGTTAGAAAGTATAGGTCTGTACAATGATAAGGAACCCATCAGATGTGAATGGATTTTTGTTTTGTTTTGTTTTGTTTTAGAGGTTTTTGCTATAGGACACATACACTTGTCAGAAAGACAGAGAGAGACAGAGAGACAGAAAGCGTGAAATCACCCCCCCAGGGGGGATGGCCACGCCACAGTCCCTTCTCCATTTTCCTCTCGGGATCTTGGGCATACACGTTTAAGCCACCAGGTCTGGGACTCGAACCGCAGTCGACCACATGGGAGTCTGGCGACATAGTCATTACATCAACTGCTGGTCCCAGATGTGAATGGATTTTAAACTTAGAGGATGACAATGGAGTTTGCCCAAAGGCTACCTCAGTCATATTCCTTAATAGGGATAGGGAAGAAGGGACTGAATGTTTCTCAGGTTACTGACGTGAGCTAAGTGGAGGACCAGCCTGTCTGTTTTTTTTTTTTTTTTTTCCTCTCTCTGCTGCTTAGTAGAATGAACATTTGCAAGTAAGTTGGATCTTGGGGAGCTAAGTGAATGTCTGTGATTTTGACTTTCAGGCCTGCTACCCTCCAAATCTTCCGTGACCAAGCTCTCCAGAGACCCACAAACCCCTGTACTACAAACCAAACAGCGCGTCAGGCCTGTGACCTGCAAAAGCACAGCTGATCAGGAGGCTGAGGAGCTTGAGAAACTGCGACAGTAAGTCCCACTGGCAATAGCTGAGAAAGAGTTGTAAGAGCCTCTGTACTTTCTTGTGAGTTCTACAAGAGTATAGTCCCTATTTTGCTTTCCATGAAAATGTATGCCATTTGAGTTGTAGGCTCTGTAGGCTGTGCCCCTGCCTCTGTAATTAAGGACTGGAAGTGGGAATATGGAGATTTGGAATGTAAGCTGGTAAAATATCTAATACCAAGTGTGGAGTGGAAGAACTTATTTGTGATTCCGGTTAAGGAATGTCCTGTCCTGTAAAGGTAGTTTAGGTAGGTCCCACCATTTTATGGCTCCCCCAAAGAATTATTTTTTCTTTACTCTGGAGGTAGTGATAGTGGCTATGGAGCCAGCTAAAATTTTATTGCTCTGGATGGGCGATAATGGGAATTACTTTTTTGTTATTGACCCTCTCTGCTGTTGTATAGCTTTTGTTTTATTTAAAATTTTTTTTTTTTCCTCACTTAAACTCCCATCTTACAGATACAAATTCAAAGCACGGGAACTTGATCCCAGAATTCTTGAAGGTGGGCCCATCTTGCCTAAGAAACCACCTGTGAAACCACCCACTCAGCCTATTGGCTTTGATTTGGAAATCGAGAAAAGAATCCAGGAGCGAGAGTCCAAGAAGAAATCAGAGGATGAACACTTTGAATTTCATTCCAAACCTTGCCCTACTAAGATCTTGGAAGATGTTGTGGTAAGAGTCGTCAAGGCTTGGTGCATGGCACAAGTGTCCTGCCATGACCCATGTCTACCCGTTCACAGATGCTTGAGTAGGGTTTGAGGGGAGGCATCATCTTAGGAGCTGCAGGTAATAGAGAGGCATATCAGAAGTGGATTTCATTCTCTGACAACTTAAAATCGGCCTAGGGAGGTAATGTATGTGTAAGTAATATAAAATGGACAGAAGTGTTCTGAGAGAGACGACAGTTTAAAGTGCTGTAGGAATTCGGAGTGAGTGATTTTTTTCCAGATAGAAGGTCTGGGAGTGCTTTGTGGAGGAGGCTGCATTTGACCTGACCCTTGCAGTATGGAGTAGTAGTTGTCATAACAGCTGGTCCTCTGTGTGGTACTGCTCTAAGTCCTTTTTGTGGTGTACAGAGAACTGTCGGAGTAGCCCATTCTTTTCGACAACAGCCCCTGGAGGCTGGTTACTTTAATTATCACTCCTTTCAGATGACTGAATTGAAGCACAGAGAGGCTGTGTGACTTTCCTAGGGCACTCAGCTACTACGTGGAGGAGCAAGGATAAGAATTCAGGCACTCTAGGGGCCGGCAGGTGGCCTGGTGTTTAAGGGCACTGGACTTCATGGAACGGTGGTTTGAGTCCCAGACCTGGCGGCTTGCTTTCTCACTCCCACCCCCTTCACCACCCCTCTTGCTCTCATATAATTCTTTAAAAAAGAAGAGGAAGAATTTAGGCATTCTAGCTCCAGAGACTGGATCTTTTTTTTTTTTTTTTTTTAGAGGTTTTTGCTATAGGGCGCGTGCGCTCGCCGGAAAGACAGAGAGAGACAGAAAGCGAGAAATCACCCCTGGGGGGATGGCCACGCCGCAATCCCTTCTCCATTCTCCTCTCGGGATCTTGGACACGCACACACAAGCGCCCAGCGTGAGTTTAAGCCACCGGGTCCAGGACTCGAACTGCGGTCGACTACACGGGAGTCCAGCGACATAGCCATTACGCTAACTGCTGGTTCCCAGAGACTGTGATCTTAACACTTAATTATATTACCTCTCATTGTAAGACCTGCAGAAATGAAAATGAAATGGACTGGCGGGGCATCCCAAGCCATTTATGAAAAAAGAAAGCTGGAAGGTGGAAAACAATTAGAAGTGACTTACACGTTTTGACACATAAATGACTAGAAGACACATACTGGCTAGAAGAACTCTTTTCTGATTCTCCTTCCTTTTGCTTGATTTAGAGTCATCATGGTTTTATGTGAAACTATACCTGTATATTACCTTTAATTATTTACCTGAAGTTACGCTTCCTTTTTTTAAATTACTTTATTTCATTTCCTTTATTATCATTATTTTGTTTCTAATTTGACAAGAGAGAGACAGACATACAGAGAAAGAGAGTGAGAAAGCAAGCAAACTGTCATGGCAGGGGCTCAAACATGGTCAGCTATATGGGAGTCCAGCGCCCTTAACCACCACACTATCTGCTGGCCCCTGAAGTTAGGCTTTCTAAGCTTTACCAGAATTCCGCTTAGATATGGTTCTCCCTCCCCCTTACTTCATACCCTCTTTGCCTCTTGACCTCTTCTTTTCACAATATTTCCTCTTCTTTATTTATTAATTTTTTTATTGACTCTGGCATGTATGTACTGTAGACCAGATGGTTAAAGACAAACTGTAAGAAACCTTCTCTACCCAAGTCAGTCATCTCCAGAAGCTGTGCCTTTGCCGTTATTACCTGTGGCGGAAACTGTGCTCTGAGTACAACATGGAAACTGTCGGTTACTGTGCAAACCTCAGAGTCCTAGGGCCAGAAGAGCTCAGTGTTCTTGTTTTACACACAGGGAAGCTGTGTCCCAGAGGATATATATGATTTCCTCAAGGCTTCTGAAAACATTCACTTGGAGCCTTGCTTTTATTTTGTTTTTTAAGCTTATTGCTGTAGGTATGCACTCTCACAAGGGAGAGACAGAGTGAGAGAGAGAAAGTGAGAACTTACCCCCTGGGGGGACCCTTTTTTCTCCATTCTCTGGGGAAATTTTGGATATGCACTTGGCATGACTTTCAAGTCACTAGATCTGTGACCTGACATGGGTACTTGGCCATGTGAAATCCAGTTGCCTTAACCTCCGTGCCACCTGCTGGCCTGGGACTTAGTTTTTAGCAACATCGTCTTTCCCCAAAGCTCTTGGCTTTTCCCCTTCTTACAAGTTTTTGTTTCTTACTTAATTCACATAATACTTTTCTAGTTTAACTATATTCTTTTTTTTTTTTTTTTTTTTTGGAGTTTTTTGCTAAAGGG